TGCTACCAGAGTTTCTATGTATTACTTAGACCTGTCAACATTATCTACTTGACTTGGTCTTGATTTGTGCCTTCTTGGAGGAATAATGTAAGGGATTTTTCCTCCTTGGATAGTTTTAAGGGTATTCAAATATAGGAGGGCAGAGTCCAGGGGTCTTCCATTTGACTGTGGTATCTTCTCACTTTTTGTTTTGGATTTCCCACATTTTACCCTTTTAAACAAAGATGTTTAACAACTTAAATGAACCTCCAACTGATAGAATCTTAGGCAATATAACAAGTGAAATTTAAGCCAGACACTCTTGAGGTAGAAATTTGAGGAGGTTCTAGACCTATAAAGACTCCCTGGGTGATGCAAATGGTTAATACATTTGGCTGCTGACCAAAAATTTGGAGGTTCAAGTTTACCCACAGGCATTTTGGAAGAAAAGTTTGACGAGCTCCTTCTATAAATGAGCCGTTGAAAACTCTGCAGAGCACAGTTCTGCTCTGGCATACATGGGATCGCCATGAGGTAGAATTGATTCAACAGTGACTAAATGAGTAGTTTGGTTTGATTTTGTGTAGGGCTAAAGGGTGAAGTTAGCCTTTAGTCAGGCCTTCTCTGCCTCAGCATTTATGACTGGAGTTGGCATCTCTTTCCCTAATACATCCTCATTTTTTAATTCTCAAACTACAGATGCCCTAAAAGCATTGCCTATCAAGCTGAGGCTAGGCAGGATGGTGGTTATTTGTAAATTGGGTCTCTAAAGTTGGGATTAACTTCTTCTCTATTTCCACCTACCTGGATCTACAAATACTTCAAAGAAAACTTTTTTTGAGAAATGAATGAGTAGAAAGTGTTTAATTCTTTACTTCACTCTGGTACTTTCCTTGGCTAATTGATTGTTTAGCTGGGTTAAGAGGTTTCTCGGTGGTAGACATTCCAAGGATGTGGTCCTCAACGTTGCCCATGCTCCTCTCCTTCTCCCCTGACATCTTTTTCACCCCAGTAAATCCTGTGCAAGGCAAGACAAGATTTCACAACAGTTTCTCTGCTGCAGGGTCAGCCAGTATTCAGTTCAGCTTGAGTTTGATTGTGTACCAAGCACTTGAAATCTGAGGGTTGAGTGTAATTATCTTCTGTGTTGTTTCCTTGCCCTTTGACCCCCCTAATTCTTTCTCCATAGTGCTGCCAGGAGGAGTATTTCTTTTTCTTTTTTCAGATTTATTAGTTTATCTTTTTTTTTCCTTTTTATTGTGATTTGGGTGAAAATTTACAGAGCAAATACAGTTTCCATACAGCAGTTCACATACACTTTGTCTCATGACATTGACTACAATTTACCACAATGCAACATCTTCCCTCCTGATTCCGATAGTTACCTCTTCCCTGTGTCCATCCCTCCATGCACTCCTGCCCCCTGAGCTGTCTCCCTGTGCATAAACAGCCCTTCTTTCTCCCATGCTTGTTCTCTCCAAGGAGTGTCTCTACCTCAGGTAAATGTTCAACTCATATGCTTGTCTACTGTTTGGCTGGAAGCCACAGGCGTGCATTCAATTCCAGAACTGAAGAGCAGCTAGGGGCCATAGTCTCAGTGGTTCCACTAGGCTCTATCAGGCCAGCAAACCTGGTCCCCCCACCTTTTATTTCCCCCCCAAATGATTTTCAGTTTTGTTTTCCCTGTCTATCCAGGATCTCCTACATAGATCCTCTTCCAAGTGGTTGACAGTAGTAGCTGGGCACCATCTAGGTCTTCTGGTCTCATAGTCGTATAGGCTGCAGATTGGATGGTGTACCAGTCGCTAGGACTAATTGTTTCCATGAATTTTTGGTTTTCTTCATTCATCTTGCCTCTGAATGAGGAGAGACCCATCATTGCATCTAGGTGGCAGCTTGCAAGCTTTTAAGATCCCAGTCACTACTTGCCACAGTAGGAGGTGGAACAGTGTTTTGTGTAGTAAGAAGGAGTATTTCTAAAAGGCACTGTCTTAACTTCTTAGTGCTGATATAACAAATACCATAAGTGGGTGACTTTGGCAAACAAAAATTTATTTTCTCACAATTTAGGAGGCTAGGAGTTCAAATTCAGGGTGCCAGCTCTAGGGGAAGGCTGTGTCTCTGTATTGGCTCTGGGGAAGGTCCTTGTATCAGCTTCTCTGGCATTCTTGTGGGTATTCCTTGGGTATCTCTATGTGGCATCTCTCTTTCCCCCTATTTGTGCTTGCTTCCTTCTGTGCCTAACCTGCTCTTTTATATGTCAGTAGTGATTGGTTTAAAACACACCCTATATTGATTGGCCTCATTAACATAACAAAATCCTATTTCCAAATGGGATTATATCCACAGGTATAGGGATTAGGTCTCACAACACGTATTTTGGGCATGGGGGTGGGACATAATTCAGTCCATTTACAAAGGTGGCATAGTGCCTAAGGCATTTGACTGCTAACCAGAAGGCTGGTCGTTCAAACCCACCAGCCACTCCTTGGAAGGAAGGTTGGGCAATCTACTTCTGTAGTGGTACTGCCTTGGAAATCTAAGGAGGGGTCGCTATGAGTTGGATCCAACTCGGTGGCAGTGAGTTTGGTTTTCTTTTTTTTTATTATTATCTGATTATGTATTTTCCTTTATTAGTACTCCACAGCCACAGGGACCACCCTCCTTATTATAGTACAGTGAAGCTGCATGGCCTGGCCCACCTGTGGTCTCTTTTACACACCCAGGTGCCTGTCTGTACCTACTCCCCTCCCCCTTTTACACTGCACATTCCATTATCTGGAATTCTTCACTTTGTCCAGCTGGCACACTTTCTGTCTTTGAGAACTTGACTTGGGTCCCCTGGAGTAACTTCCTGAATTACCCTTGATCTAGTTCATTTCTCCTTTCTCCATGCTCCCTCTGGACTTTATACATGCTTCTATCTTTGTTTGTCCTTCATTCAGCCAACTATTAAACACCCGTGTCAGGCCTGAAGGACCCTTGGTGGCACAGTGGCTAAGTGCACGGTTGCTAACTGAAAGGTCAGAGGTTCAAACCTACTAGCCTGCTCCACAATGTGGCAGTCTGCTTTCGTAAAGATTTACAGCCTTGGAAACCCTACAGGGCAGCTCTACTCTGTCCTGTAGGGTCACTATGAGTGGGATCCAATTCAGTGGGCATGAGTTTTGGTTTTATGTCAGGCCTGTGGATACAGCAGTGACTGAGACAGGCAGGGCTCCTATCCACATAGAGGACAGGCAAATGATCAAATTGGGCAGGAGGATGGTTTCAGGTAGTGGGATGTTCACTCTCGGAAGGAAATAAAACAACAACATGATAGTGCTGGTGAGGGAGATGGTTTTATATGGAGTGGCCAGGGAAGTCTTTGCAGACAGGGTGACATTTGGCCTGATCTGAACAGGAGGGGAGCCAACCATGGAGACATTTGTCAATGGAGCTTTCTATGCAGACAGCAGCATCTGAAAATGCCCAAGGTAGGGAGGTGTTTGGCACTTGGAGGGACAGGAGGAAGCCTGTGTGGCAGGAGCAGAGACCAGGAGGTGGGAGGGTAGGAGGTGAGTAGGCAGGGATTTGATGACCGATAGCAGAGAGTTTAGATTTGTTCCTCCGGGATTTTATTCCTAAGTGCAGTAAGGGACTGTGGAGGTATTTAGGCAGGGGCATCATGTGCAGTGATTTATGTTTAAGCTGCTCTGAACACTTCATATTGTAAATGGCTTATCGGCATACATCTCTGTTAGATTGAGCAAATCCCAGGACCTACCTAGCCCAGAGTACTGTCCGTGAATGTTGGGGATTCAGTGAATGAACGAATGATCCATATTTCCTTTGGATACACTCTATTTAAACAGTTAAGGCCTTAACACCATTTAAATAACATTTTCAGTTTAATAAAATGGGATCATTCTAGTACTAGGGCACTTCCTTATGAAGAAAATGTCATAGACTTTGCCTGACTCCAGGGTAGTATACTCTGCATGTTCTATTTCACCTTTGAAGCAGGACCACAAGAATGTTAAGTAGAACCTCGATGACCAGAAAAGGAGAAGGCATGACATTTAAAAAATGAAAATGATAAGTAGTACAGTAAAACCTCCTGATAAGGTGAATTCAGATATAACAAACATAACTGCATTTGCTCTCAAAAGGAGGCAGGCTAAGGTGCTTCCCTTTGGGGTGGGGAGCAGGGTTGGTAGGAGGTGGGTGGTCATCTCCTGATCATCTGGGACTTTCTCGGTCAGCCTAAGGTCAGCTGTGTATGGTTGCCTTCTGTTGACTTTTATGCTCTTTGACAATTTGGACCACCTGAGAAGTATATGTTTTCATTTACAGCACAGTAATGTCACCTTACATTTTATATGATTGACTGTTTTGGAGCCAACTTAGAGTGTTATGGTGAGCTTTTACTATAGTTAGTATTTTTCTATTAAAATTTATTACATTGTTATTATTTTTTTATCATTATACCCTGAGTGTTTTTTAAATCAGTTAGAAACCTAGTTTATATCCATCTGTCCCATTAAATAAAGCTGTGCTTGAAAATCTCTCATGATGAGAGTGTAAACTAACCCAGCTGGTATGCTCTAGTGGTTTAATAGCACCTAGTCTTAAGAAGGCTTTTCTGATTACTTCTTTCCCATATCCACTTAAAAGTTGGGCTAGTAATGCCAGTTGCCATTGATTTATTTCAACTCCTGACAATCCCATCAGTGTCAGAGTAGGGCTGTGCTCCATAAGGCTTGCAATGACTGTGACCTGTTGGAAGCAGATCACCAGCACTCTCTTCTGAGGCAGCCCCTCCTTGGGTTTCTGAGGCGGTATCACTACGGAAGTAGATTGCTCCATCTTCCTTCTGAGGAGTGTTTGGTGGGTTTGAACCACCAGCCTTCTGGTTAGCAGTCAAATGCCTTAGGTACTACGCCACCAGAGCTCCTGAGCTTCTGATAGCTATCAGTACAAATACGGTGTACTGAGTACATTTTGGACTTATTAAAATATGAAAATATTTTCTTCTGCAGAGACTTCAGCAACACAGAGACGCTGTGTAGTGAACAGAAATACTATTGTGAAACGTGCTGCAGCAAACAGGAGGCCCAGAAAAGGTGGGTAAAGGATTTAGCTCAGGGGATAACTTTGTGCAGTGAAAAGGAACCAGATAGTAGGGCACAGAGGTTTGGTTTTAATTCTCAGCTCCATGGACTCATAGCTGCATATCTTTGGGGAAGTCACTTAACCCTCTGCCACCTGTAAAAGTGGGAAAGGAACACTTACTCTGGAGAGTTGTCTATCTATGTGATTGTTCGTTCATTTGTCCACTCAACAAATATTTACTGAGTCCCGCTCTGTGTCAGATATTGTGCTAGGTAAGCAGATGGTGATCAAACATAATCTCTATCCTCTTGGGATTAAAGATAAATTATGTGAAGTACTTTGCACAGTATGTGACACATACTAGGCAACCAATGTTATTGTCAATATTTCATTCAACACTGGGGCTTATTTAGAGACAGAAGAGGTTAAGATTTCATTTATTAAGGAATCATGAGGAAATCAATGACTCATCACCGATATAGATTGGTGAGAAAGTTATTACATGTAGATTGATATAGGACCCACTTTTCCCCATCATTTTACCAGTACCAAATAATTACAGCTCTTTGACAACATGAAATAACCAGTGATTCTCCCTTACCTGCCCCCAGAAGCCAAGAAAGTTGGCATTTTAATTAACCCTACTGTGAGTTAAATTTACCCTGCCAGTGGTTTTGGAATATTCACGGTAACTCAGATGCTTGTTACTGCCTTCGAAAACCCTCAGAGGTCTAGAGACCTGAGGTTGAAATCATTTCTTAGCCCAGCCTCTCAGCCCTCCTCACATTTTTCCTTGCTACGTCAAAACTTAGGGAAGGTTAGCGTTGAGGTAGGGAGGAGAGGAATAGTGGGCAGGGAGGTCTTTTCTGCTCCCCATCTTTATAATCTGTATCTGCCTAAGGCCAGACTTAGGTCATCTTCTGTGATATTAAGGTGTTTTCTGCTTAGCCCTGAAGGCTCAATGTGTTAAAATGTCAGGTGCTCTGTAAAATCCAGGTTTCCCCATTGTTCTTTTTTTTTTGTACTGATGTTTTTATTTTTCTTATTTTAATGATAAGAGTTTTGCTCTAATAGATTCCTTAATCAGTATTCTCATGAAATCCTGATCAAAAGGGAGAAAAACATGGGCCAGAATTTCAAATTCTCACAAAAACCAGACTTTCTAGAGCCATGGAGATGGGATGAACCCCCGAAACTATTGCCCTGAGAAAATCTGTAAACCTTAAATCAAAAATACCCCACGAAGTGTTTGTAAAACCAAACAATAGTTTAGCTTAACTAGTAAAGAGTGTCTGTCTTGAACATTGTGCTCCTTTAAGAGCTAGCTGTATGGGAGCAAATTGACAACAGCAACTTGTTAGATAGGAAGCTAAGGGGGCAGTGGGTTTATGTTAATGGAGGAGGAATAATTTGGGAAAGGCAGGTGAGAATGGTCGCACAGCTTGAAGAATGTCATCAGTGTCACTGTACCTTGTATGTGTGGGAATCGTTGAATTGTTGCATGTTCTGCTGTGTATATTCTCAACAATAAAAGCAAATCACTTAACAAAAAGAAAAAATTCTCTTGAAACTTGCTCCTTATCAATAACATGCGTTGAAGATATAGACAAACTGAACAGCGTTTATACCAACTTAGTAACTGCATGGGATAGTAGGCCTGGGAGGGAACTGACTGGAAGGTCCTCTGTTCTGGCAAAGTGTTTAGTGTGAAAACTTTATTTAGGTGATTTTTTTACTGGGCAATATGAATGATTATCTAGAGGGAAAAAAGCTTTCTGTGCTTAGATAAATCGTTTGGGAAATGTTAACGTCACATCAAACAAAACTGTTTCTTTACTGTGGGATTCCTTAAAACCTTCTGTATGCTTGTTGTATGCTCACTGAGGGTCTTCAAAATAGAAGATAGTGTTGTCCAAGCTAGTTGGCCACAGACTCTACATCTGTTTCTATCTCCAGTGTTCTGATGAGTGCAGTTTGGGAAAGGTAGCTGTAAGCCAACTTCTGCATTTTATAAATGAGGAAATGGAGAGCTAGAGAAAGACAGTGACTTGTCCAGGGTCACACGAATGAGGAGTCAGAGTGAATCTAGTATGTTTGGTTTCCTGGTGACCAGAAGTGTGTAATTTTTGAAGATTTCTTTTGCCTTGTCCTCTTCCCAACTTCCTTTTCCCAATAGCTCTAAGTCTTCCTCACCATTATCCAAATGTTCCTCTCTAGGAGACAGAGAACAGTGACAGAGAGCAATACGATGTCACACTGTTACTGGTGCACAAATTCTGGAATATCTCCTTTTACTAAACAACATCATATAGCTAGCTGGCTCTGGTTTAGTTAGCCAAGGATGTCGGTTGAGCTCTAGATAAGCAGGCCTACTTGCAGTTTATATGAATTGTTTGGTTTTGTGTGGGTGTGAAGTGCATTAGACCCCTTCTGCTCTCCATTTGTGCAGGTGATGGTATAGTTTATCCCCACAGCAGGTTTGAGGGACAACTCATATTCTGTTTCATTTTTCTTAGAATGAGAGTAAAAAAGCTCCCCATGATTCTGGCCCTCCACCTAAAGCGGTTCAAGTACATGGAGCAGCTCCACAGGTACACCAAGCTGTCTTACCGGGTGGTCTTCCCTCTGGAGCTGCGGCTCTTCAACACCTCCAGCGACGCGGTGAACCTGGACCGCATGTATGACCTGGTCGCTGTCGTGGTTCACTGTGGCAGGTAAAGGCCGGTGGGAAGGGGGCTGTATATAATCCCATGTTCATTATCAGTGTAAGAGCCGTCCCTTTGCCAAAATAGACCCAGTTGCACTCTTACTGGAGTCCCTGGGTGGTACAAACACTTAAGCACTAGACGACTAGTGGAAAGGTTGGCAGTTCTAATCCACCCAGAGACAGGCCTGGCGATTTGTCTTCAGAGGTTGCAGCCTTATAGCACTGGGTGACACTAATTCTACTGATGCTCCTTTTCCGCTCCTCTTCTGTTCGCCTCCCCTCCCCTTCCTCTCCTCCTCTTCCCTTCCTTAATTTTCCTGTCTTTTAAAATCTATACTAGAGGATAATAATAGTTCTGGTGTTGCCAGAAAAATGAAACGAGGTGTTGGCAAAAGCATTTTGTAAATTGTAAAGTCCTGTGATCCTTGATAGAGTGGTAGAACAATGTGGAACAAAACTCAAAACCATTTAAAAAAAAGAAAAAGCACCAGGTTTGCTGGTCTGATAGAGACTATGAGACCCCTGAGACTATAGCCCTTAGCTACCCTTCAGGTCTGAACTCAGTCCTGTGGCTTCCAGGCAAGCAATAGGCAGACATATGGGGTGATCATTTACATCAGGTAATACACTCCTTGGAGCTATCAATCATGGGAGAACAGAAGGGTAGGCAGTGTTTGCACAGGGAGACAGTTGGGGGGTGGGGCTGGAAGTACATGGGAGGGAAGGGTGCAGGGAAGAGGTAACTATGGGGAAGAAATGGGAAGAGAGCTGTTACATTGTGGGGAACTGCAGTCAATGTCATGAACAAAATGTGTATGAACTGCTGTATGCAAGATGAATTTGCTCTGTAAACTTGCACCCAAATCACAATAAAAACTAAAAAAAAAAAAAAAAGTCACAGCCTTGAAAACCCTATGAGGTAAACCCTACTCTGTATACATGGGGTCACTGTGAGTCAAAATCAAATTGATGGCAACTAAACAATAGGTATTCTTACTGAGCCTTGAGACACAGGCATGATATTATGGAGAATCTTTTCCAAGTTCTTGTTTGATTATAATTTCAAAATATAAATGTGCCTACATATATACATAAAATAACACCTAGTATTATAATAATAGTAAACTAAATGTTCTATTAGAAGGGAAATAATTTAATAATTCTCCATGAAATCAAAATGATGTTTATGAAAAGTTTGAAGGAACATGGAGAAATGAATAAATATGCTGTGATTTTTTTTTTTTCCCTGCATTTTTACAGTGTTTCCTTCCCTCCCCTCCCACTCCTGGTAACCAACAAAAAAAGTTTCCCTCTGTATAAACCTTTCCTTGACTTTTACAATAACGAACTAATACAATATTTGTCCATCTGTGATTGGCTTATTTCCCTCAGTGTAATGGCCTCCAAGTTCATCCATGTTACGTGGTGTTTTGCAGATTGTGCATTATTCTTTAGTGTTGCAGAGTATTCCGTTATATGTAGGTACCATAGTTTGGTTATCCATTCTTCTATTGATGGCCACTTAGGTTGTTTCCATCTTTCTGCCATTGTAAATAGTGCTGTAATGAACATGGGTGTGCATATATCTCTTCTTGTCCTGTCTCTTACTTATTTAGGATGTATATCTAGTAATGGGATTGCTGGATCAAATGGTATTTTTAATTCCAACTTTTTCTTTTATTTTTTATGTTTTTATTTTTT